ACTATCAAATTATATAAATTGTAATATTTATACAGAGAAAAGTATTTCTCTGGCTCAAAAACAATGAGGGTTTGTAAATGAATCTGAAATAGAGCAACATATTAAATTTAAAGTTTCAAGTTCATTTGAAGAAAAGAAAATTCACCCTATTTATTTTCTATACCAGGATTATACTAAACGAAAACTAAAACAAAAAAATGTTACTTAAAATAAATGTTAGCTGAAATAAAAGAAATTATTAAAAAACTAAAAGAATTATGACTTTAATCATTTAGTCCACTTAAACCCTGCCCCTCCACAATCAACTGCAATGCCCACATCTCAACATCCAATCAACAACTGATGAACTGAACCAAGTCCCTGCCCCACATTATATCCTTTTTGATAATCCGTTACCTTTGGATGTACCCACAACAAGGAAGAAAGATCTGCCACTACTTCCATTTCATCGCAACTTTGAAAGTACAGTACAGAATTCTGGGTTCTCTATTGCCGTCTGTGGTTGAAATATAAAATTGCAAGTGACTTGCAGATAAACATTTTTATGTTTTTCCTGTGCATAGATTTTCTGGGTGGATTAACATTTTTAGACATACCCAATATTTCATTTCTAGTGAAAAATGTACGAGCAATCCTCCGTAATGTACTTTCAAAAAAACAGATTCAAACAGATTTGATTCAAACCAATTATACCGCTAAAAGTGACACTGTTCTGAAAACAACTCTTTTCAGTAGCTGCTGGCTACTGGAAAAAGTAGTTTAGTTAGTTGGTTGCCAACATTGGTACAATATTTCTATTCCGTAATAATATTAGTCAAAAGTAAGTGCAAAGTAAGACCATTTGTTTTAGCACAGAAAAAAAAAAACTAAAACGGTGGATTTAACTCCCAAGCAAAATGCAAATGGTGTATGTGGAATTGCATAACCATAATACGGTGAGCGTGATTTCACCAAGTACAACATGAGAGATATCTTTTCAGGAAATATCTGTTTTAGGCTTACAATCAGGGTTAGGTGCTTCTACACCCTTGTTAATCAGCTATAATTTCCCACTGATTTTAGGAATAAATTACGGGTAGGGTTAGGTTTAGGGGTAGGGATTGGGTTAAGTCTATATTTTTGGACAATAATGTTGATCCAGGATCATCAAAAGATGTTGATCCAGGAACATGTCTTACTTGGCAAAATCACGGCGACCCCATAATACTTCACATGTTTCAGCTTTCACCAAGTAGGTCAAATAGGTTCTCTTGAAAAGCAATCAGATTAATGCACCGTTGCATGCTCTGCATCAGGACTACAGATTCTGATTAAGGAAATTTCACATTGCTCTTCTGGGCAAGACCCACCATTGCTATTGATATTCCAGGCAGTGTCTCCTTCCTTCTGTTACATAGCCGATATACCCTAGACCTCTCAGTTTAAATTACAGCCCAATAATATCTCACTGCAGTGGGGGCTGTGGCAGACAGAACGGAGCGTATTCTGTCTCATTGATCTTATATACATAGCTGAGTCATTGGCTCCATGCTTAAACACATTGCCAAGGGAAGTCACAGCTGGATGTGTCGGTGGTGCAGAGTACATTTATCTTGTTTTAAGGATGTAGAAATAATTTTAGTGTAAAACAAGACTACATAGCGATTCAAAAAAATGTAGGTGCTCTCTAAAGCAATCCAATTATTTCAGCAGGATTTTGTAGATAAAGTCTCAAGGTCTTCACATCTCCCAGAAGACACATACTTTCATTGCAAGAAATGATACTGTAAGTTCTCACCTTTTTTTACCAAACCCTTATTAAATCTAAAACGAACTGTGACATTTTCTCTTTTAAGATCAATCATTCATAGACCTTTGGTCTAGATACCCCAAATTTTTTGAAGTAATTACAGGCCTTGGTCTCTACAGAGAAATTCTCTGTCCTTTAATATTTCAGTGTCCATTCATATTTCATGCATCATTTCATGCAGCGGTGGACCTGCTGGTGTCTCTGTGTACATTTGGATAAACTAAACAGGTGAAAGAGTAAATTGGCACACCAAAGACAAAGATCAAAGCCAGTGCCTCAGGGTAGTTTGCTCTTGACTTCATCTGTTAACGTTATGTTTCTCTGATGCTTTTTTCTCCTCGCTTGATCACCCTGAAAGCCCTGAATGGAGTGGGGAGGCTGATGATTCGATTGCACGCTTTCATTTGAGTTACAACCTGACCGTTTAAGGGGACATAAAAGAGAGGGGTATTGGGCCCCCTTGTCTTCAAACTGAAATCCCTTAAAATATTTAAATTTATACTCAAAATGTTAATTAAAATGCCTTTAATCTCCCTAAGAAACTAGTCAAATGATAAAAAGCACTGCCAGATATATTTAATAGAGTAACTCACAAACTATTGTGCAACTATTATCATGCCATTATATCAAGATTGCTTCATTGACTTATACAGTACCTTTCCTAAATGGCTCGCTGGAATCTGTTTAATAATTATGAAGAAGTGAACATAATATGCCGTTCCAACCCATTTTATCTATGTAATGTAATGTATTTGAATGGTACAGGATATTCTAGAAATAATGCAGGGAAAGACTTGAATTTATCTACCTGGAATTGACTGGATTGTGAAAAGTTGCTGTCACATACCAGAATAGAGTCAGGTGGTACGAAAAGAAAAAGGGATTCCTCACATCACAGAAAAAAGGAAGTCAAGGTTTGGTTCTCGTGAGCAAAGACAAGTGGCAGAAATGTCACTAATGCTAATGGATAGCTTTCTTCAGGCACGTCATCTGAAAAGAGCAAAAACAAACATGTTTTAATTTTAAACTTTGTAGAGAGACGAATTGTGCACAATAAGCTCAGGAATGTGCATTAATAAAGTAAATAGGATACATTTTGAGTTCATGTTGATTTTAATTAGAATGCTTTGGTTTTAATAGAGGGTTCATTTAATTGGTGATTTTACTTACACAAGATCACAACAGTTAAAAATAATCACTGCTGTAGTTTGGAGCAGATGGGGTGCGAGTCAAACTAGTGGTTCTCAACTGATGTGTTAGGATCCAAAAATGCAGGTCTGCTAGTAAAGCAGGGAAAACAATGATAAATACAAAAATAATTAGGCTAACAAATAACAAGTCATTGGAATTTGAATTAAATTGTTACATGATATGCTGACAAATTAATTGCATATTTGGTAACAAAAGTTGGCAATTATCCTCAAATGAGGATAATTGACCATTATTGCAGTCAAGGCTGCACAGTGGCTGGCCTAATGTGTTAAACTTGTTCAAGTGAAAGAAAATATGAACATAAATATTCATGCATATTGAATAGTTTGTATCACAAAATCATAGTTACCGTTTTTAAAAGCGAGGAGAAAACATTTTCCATTAACTGTTGTTGTCAACGTCCAATCATTTTGGCTATTGGAAGAAGCTAACCAGATTAAGCTATTACAAATTAGCATAACATCAATATATTTCTATGTTTGGCCAACGACATGTTTGTACACAGGCACGTGCACACATAGACATCAAAGGGGCTTGAGCACCTGCCCTTTCTCTTCCTCAAGAGAAAGTGCGCTTTTTTCTTAGGGAGTTTTTTTTTTTAAATAAATGAATATATGTATATATGTGTGCGTGTGTGTGTGTTTCTGTTTGCACATAGCTTTCCCTGTCAAACAAATAAAAAATCTAAATATCAGGTCGGGTTAAAAGGTCGAGTTCCGATGCCTTTCTCCGCGTCTCTGCAGCACAGCAGTGTAGCGCACATTGATAGGCACATCACATCACAGACAGACAGAGAGCCGCAGAAGTGAAGCCCTCCCTTTCCAGTTGTGTTTGTCTTGGTGTGGAGGTGAGTGTTGAGGAACAAAAGAAGCTACCTGAGCCTCGAATTTACAGCAAATTATCCAAAAGGCAAATATAGTTAATTTGTCTTTGCTAACATCCATGACTCATGAGAGCTACCATGTAAGTTAGCTAAAGTTTAGCTAAGGCAATAGGAAGTCTAGGTTACACCAGTGTGCGTTCTTTCACTGCATGATTCAGTTTATTAAAATGTATTTAGACTGATCAGAAAATTCAAGATATGGGGGCAGAAATTTATATATTTATTTCATTTCATATAGTTAATCAGTATCACGCAAATGTAATATTGATTTTATATAAGTTTTTAAACAAGGATTTAATATTAAGACACTTATGTTGTTGACACAATATTGACTGTTCTTGCTCTATTTCGCCAACAAATATAATTCATTAAACAGTGTGTAAATGCATCTAAATGCCACTTCATCCAGGTGGATGCTGCACACTGGTGGTGGATGAGGAGATACCCCGACAATGTAAAGCGCTTTGAGTGCCTAGAAAAGCGCTATATAAATGTAATGAATTATTATTATTATTATTATTACTTCTAATGCAGCTTCTGTGTTTTCTCTGCATTGCAAAGATTAATTTAGTCAATACTGATTTCATTTGCTTGGTAACAGCCCAAATGACTTATTATTCTATTGACTGATTCAATTTAAGAATTTTTTCTTTAAAAAAAATGGCTTAAAAAAATGTAAAAATGCCCATTAAAAGGTACAAATAAATTTAAACTCATTAGAAAAGATTAATTTCTATCACTGCTGTGAACTGACCACCACACAGAATATGCAGAATATCAAAAACTTTAGAAGTCAGATGTCCACGGTAGTCCTTAAGATACCAGCACTATAACACACTCAGCAAAATATCATCTAATTATCATTATCGATTAAATTACAGAAAATATTGAGATATTTTGTCAATATTGCACACCCCTAATATATTTAACGTTTTGTTTAGAAAAAAATTGAAATAAATATGAGAAGTGCCTTTTTTTCCCCACTTGAGCCCCTCCCTGCCCCTCAAAATTTCTGTGCACGTCCCTGTTTGTACAGTAAACAATTTGGTATTCCCCACTTGATATCCAATGTTAAACCAGATGGCCTAAACCATTACTGCTGCTGAACTTCATTGGCTGTCAACAGCAGCGCGCGTCCCTTTGGCTCTATGACGCCGTCAAGCAAGCCGTGCTCGCGAGCTGCCGAGCTGTAAACCCGCTGTCAAACAGTGCGGACAAGAGATCCCCACAGATCCGAACAGCTGCAGCTCCCTGTCACATAAGATGTGCTGGAGACTCAAAGCCGAAACGTTATACGGGAGATCATTCCGCCCGGCTGTATGAGAGCAGAACCGCCGCGAAACGCGTAGAGGATTTGTGCCTGTTTCTGCGCGCGCTGCGCACGTGGAAATGTTACGATGGCATGCACGAGGAGAACCAAAAGTTTGGTGTCCACGTGCGTGATTTTAAGCGGCATGACCAATATTTTGTGTCTGCTCTACGTCGGATGGATCACCAATTATGTGTCTAATAACGGCAACGTCAAAGTTGCAGGGAAGACGCACGAGAAAAAGTTTGATGACAACAGAGGAGAAACGCTTAGGATTATAGAGAGACTGGACAGGCTTGAGAGTGTTGTTAACCAGCACATCCAAGGTAACGATGTTTTGACATGACCGCATGATTTATATTAATTGCATGTTCTCTTTTTACAGTTGCTGTATATCACACTCCTACTTGCAGCAGATATGAAGATCAATACTGGTTTAAAGGGGCTTTGCACTTCAGATGCTGATGTTAATGAGCCTCTTTTTATGGCTCTGTTTCTATATGCATACATGGAGATGAATTGGAGACCAATCATAATGTTACAGCACCTCTATCTGTCTGGACTGTATTCAGCTCCCAACAGATTTCTGTATTCAGCGGGTGCAGTGTAAACTCAGGTTTATTGAAGCTAGAGAGGGGGCATAAATTTAGCACTTGGCAATGTCCTTGCATAAACATCAGTCCCGTGGCTGGTGCCATCATGTTGCTTTGCTGGACTCAAACAGGACAGCTGGGAGTGATGATAACCTGCAAGAGTTTGAGCAGCTTCTGATCCTGGATGATTAATCATCATTAGTGTACTGTTGATGTCAATCTGATTCAGTAGTGTTAAAAATATGGCCTTGGAATTAAATAAGGGAGGTGCTGTCTTCAAAATAACCTCCATTTATGCCCTTACAGTCTTTGTGTGAGGAATTGTATTTCTGTAAAGGATTAATGCATGCGTTAATCTTGTTGAGAAGCATTTGGATGGATTTATGGGATATGTTGGCCAGTACCATAAGTACAGCTCCTGTGCTGAGCTCAAGGTCTTAAAGCTTGCTTCTTGCTCAGTGCAGTCATAGTGAAGCCATAAATGTCAATCAAAATATACCCAGTACACCTACACGATGAGGCACTTAAGCGATCGAGTGTATCATGCTACATTATATACTGTTTCAAAAAAAGATACCACATAGCGATGCCTTCCTCACTTCTTAAAATATTTTATTTAAGGTGAAATGTGTCGTTTTTAATTTTATTTTAAAATACCATACAGAGAAAACCATAGCCATTTGTTGTTTGATTTTACCTAGCATGTGTAAACATTGTAGCTTTTTAATGCTGTTAAAACATTGTGCTATTTGTTTGAGATTTCTGAATGGTCTGACAACAGCAGCTTTGGCTCAGCCAATAGCATGAGTTTGGGGCAAGATTATCTGTTTGGCTAACCAATGGAAGAGGGAGGGAATAATCAGAGAAACCTGTTTGAAAACAGCTATTGTTTTTGCATTTCCGTTTGAAGACTCACCATTTTATTGTCCAACATAATATTTAAAAACAAGTATTGCATTTCTGAGGGAAAATTATGAGACATTTGTTTTCAGACTTTTTTATTAACAGAAACTGAGAGTATTGATATATTATAGCCACAATTCATTTTGAGATTTCAGCAGTTTTAAAAACTGTCTGTTCTTCAATAAGTACTTATTGAGGGGAAAAAAATTAATTTAATTTAAGTTTAAATCGTTATTTAATGTGCTTTTTAGTATTTTATATAGATTAGTAAAATTATTTTAGACTATTTCACTGCTCTAGCTTCCCAAACTGGGGTTCGTGTGTTGAAGAAAAGCTAATAATTAATTATAATAAAAATTTTTTAAATTAAAATACATAAATTATATTCAAATAAAAACAATCAAAATAAAACACTTGATTGAATATTTTATTAGTTTACTTGCATGTCATGTAACCATTAACCAAAATCAGAGAACCATGAGCATTTGCAATTATCAAAATATTACCTTAAATCTAAATATTTTAGGTCAAAGAGGTTCAGCTGACCAAAAACTTTGGAAATGCCTTTGGGAAGTGAAATTACACCTTTAATATATGTATTCAAAACCCCAATTCACATATAAACTTCTTTTCTGTACTTTCAGAGCATAAGTCAAAGAAATAAGTCTCAGTGAAAGAAATAATCTAGGCTCCTCAGATTTGCTTGCAGTCTCCTCCAGTTTTACGATAACTGAGTCAGTGGCTCCTGTCGGAGAGTCTCATTTCTTCAAAATCCATTAAAAGTGAAGAGTCCGGTTTTCACGCACATCTGAACTGTCTGATTGCATTGTCATTGGCAGAGACTGAGACTGACACTGGACCTCCAGTTTTGCATTGACACGAGCAACAGTGTTAAAGAGAGAAAGAAATGAAGCTAGTTCTTTCCCTGTAACCCAGTTTCAATTAGCAAATGTGAACTTTGGTTAGTGGAAGGTCACTGTGGAAATGCCATGTTTATTGTGCTTTGCTTGTGATGTCCAGGGATACGAGTTCTGGTGTTGTGCCATTTCAAATGTGGAGTGTAAGATGCTGGAGAGTTAGGGAGAAAGCAAGGAAGACAAGTCTTTGTAGTATATATGTAGTATATAAAATTAGGTTTGAAGTTAAGTTAGCAGAGCTTTCCTTCTTTAAAGGGATAGTTCACCCCAAATGAAAATTTTGCCATCTCACCCTCATGTCGTTTCAGAACCAGTTATTTTCTTCCACAGAACAAAAAAAGAATGTCCAGGCTTTTCTTCCCTATTGTGAAATATATACAATTGAAATGGCTTATTGAACAAGAACAAATGTACTTGGTCCTGGTTTTGTCCATTAGGAATTGTTTGGAATGTTGAATATGAATTTGAAACAAATAATGATGGGCACAGATAAATCATTAATAATAAACTTTGCTATATTCTATAAATAAGAATTGACCCTTCGCAAAGACCCACCCCCTTTAGTTACTGTTGCTATGTCCGACAAGCCATGGCGCTCTCACGCCACACATCATGTTCTCACACA